GAGACTTTGGGTGGCTGTAGAATTGAGGTGAGCACAGCACTTTGCTTGATAGCGTGTTATTCGGGAGACAGTTACTTAGTCTATTGTCATTTCCTTCTTAGACACACATTCCAGATGCCTGTCGTACATGTAAAGTAAAGTGTTTTTTAGACCATGTTAGTGCTAGTGGAGTTTAGGTTTTTTTAATTTATCTTATAAAATGAAACTTTTAATTTTACTTTTATCATCTCTCTTTTTTTTTTTGCCACACATTGCACCTGTATTCTACCTTTGCCAACAAAACGGGCCCCCTAAATACAACTTTTTTTTTTTTTTTCCTTTCTGTCTTTTTTTTTACTGACCGGTAACGGGATCGCAGCCCTTGGTGTTGCACCCGCACTGCGCTCAGCCAGTGAGCGGGAACCGGTCTCCACATGGGATCCGACCCCTCGGCGGGAGCACTGCCCCGCTCCCAAGCGGCGCACTCTCCAGTGCGCCACCGGGCCGGCCCCCTAAATACAACTTTAATTCTCACAGATAGCTATCTTCATCTTCTCTGTTTCTTTGCTACCCCCTATTCCTTGAGGGCAGTTCAGTTGCTGAACTTCTTACCTTTAGCATTGAACCATTCCCAACAAAATAACTGTTTTCTCATGCAATAAATAATTACACAAATGCCCATAAAATTTGAGTATTGTAACCTTTGCTATTTTCTTTTTATTCTTTTGGAATTCTTAATCTCACACTTAAAATCAGAAGTTTCTTCCTATTTTCCAACCTCCTTTCTAGCCAAGTAAACCTCTGTGTGTCACCCAATTATGCTTATTTCTTTTTTAGTCTGAACTTACAGAAATAGTGTGCTTTCCATGTTTCTTCTCTGAAGCCTTAATCAAATTTGGAAACACTTCACCTGTCTCAATTCTAATCCCTACTCATCTCATGGCTGTTTTCTATCAGTGTGGCTTTCTGTTTATTTAGGGAACCTGCTAAACTGGGCTCTTGTTTGCCTGGTTTTTCCTACCCGAGTAGTAACAAGAACTAAGAACTAAGTGCTGGCATATACCCTGTTCTGTACTTGTTGGCCACAAGAAAGGATTCTCTTGCTCAGGTTTTAATTTAGATGGCAGGTCAAGTAAGGGTAAACAGACTGTTAGAGAAAAGTTCAGGTTTGCACTTTGACTAGGGCAGAGAGTTTGTGGGGAATAGTGTGATACTTGGATAGGTTTGAAGAGCCAGGTTTGGCATCTTGGAAAGGTGGAGGAGATGGGAGTTTAGTGTTAGTAGTGGATGTTGTAGGCAGCCAGTCTAGGTTTCTTATCAGGAGCCAGCCTTATTAGAGCTCTGAAGATTAACAGCAGTAACCTTCAGCTTATTCAAAGCTGGCTGCAAAACCTCTTCAAAGGGTGTTTATGAATCAAGTGACTAACCGTTGGGATGTCTGTGGTCGAGAGCCTTATGTCCCCATTCTACTTAATGCTTTAATTGAAAACATGGCTGGAAACATGACAGGCATATCAGGGTCACATGTGCAACCCTAGAGCTTGGAATTACTATGCCTAGCGAGTGAATCAAGATTCAGGTAGTCACCATGGACTCCTTGCTGGCCAAAAACCCTGGAAATTAACAGGTATAAATGTAGAAGTCTGTGTTCAGGTTCTGACAATCAGATGCGTGAGTCTAAAATAGGAGATGGGTGTTGAAGTACAAAACACTGGGTTTGTCATGAGCAAAGCCTCATGGGAGCTGGTGTGTTATAGCTTCATGGCTGTTAAAATAAAGTTGTGACTGAAGCAAGTGCTGGAGTACATCGAGAGAATTTTGTCTAAATCTGAACAGTTGTACATTTTAACAGATGTCCTGGCCCACTAGAGAAGATGTAGAGGATGGTTAATTTAGTGAGGAATTTTAGATATTGAATATGCAGAGAACAAAAGATGGGAGCAGTGGTTGATGTCTCCGTCTCTGAAAGGCACTTGTGAGGAGCAGAAAGTGGACACGGGCTGTTCCTGAAAACATAGGAGAACTGAGAAACAGAGGTTAGGATTTTAGTCAAGATGGAAAAACTGCCTGACAGTACTTCCTGTCCTGTGCTAATCTGATTGCTCATACTGCTGAAGGTGCTTAAATAGCATGTCTACCTTCAAGGGATACTCCTGCAACTTCTATGTTTTCCTAACATGGGGAGTTGGGACTCTATATGCTTAAAATCCCCTTTCTTTTATGAAATTCAGTATTGTAACCCAATTTTTAATATTCTGATGGTAAGTTTTCGTGTTAATGGTCATCCTAAATTAACTAACCAGTAGGTAGCAATCATTTATCCGCTAGTATTAAAATCTGTACTCATTTAGTATTCTGTGTGATGGTTCAGATTCTTTTGTTCCATGTAAGATTATATGGTCTTTTTCTGTTGCACTTGAAATAATGCCCAATATTGAAATTCTTTGTTATTATTGTTGCTGATTTTCTTCCTCCAAGGGAAATATCAGTCGACAAGAAGCTGTTAGCATGATCCCACCACTGCTGCTTAATGTTCAACCTCATCATAAGGTAGCGTATATTAAATGAAGATGTGGAGGTGGGTTGGTTGTTATCAGTGTCCTATTTGTTTTGTTGAAACCTTTTTTTTTTAAAATATAATTAATCTCTCTTTTTTTTTTTTTTTTACTTTGGATAGAGAACAATTTATTTTAGGTTCTTTTTTTACATTTTTGTCAAATTAAATGTTTATAATTAAGATAACTATTTTCTCCTCTTTTAAAGTTTATTAATTTGTTTACAGATTATCTTCAGTGATCTTAATTGGCTGAATCAGGTTGAAAATCATAGTGAACATGTATTGAGAGCTCATTATATTATATGCCAAGCATTGTTTTATGCTCTTTGTGTGAATTAATTCATGTAATCATCCACACAACCCTCTGAGGGTAGATGCCATCACTGTTTTCATTTTTCCAGCTGAGGAGAAGGAAACAAAGAAGTGAGGTAACTGGCCCAAGGTTACAGAGCTAGTATGTGGCTGAGCTGAGGTTGGAGCCCAGATGGCTCTGTCCCTTAGCATTACATTATCACAGTACTTGCTTATTCATCCCTAAATTTGTGGCTTTCACTGGTTTCTGTTGCTGTTCTGTTACCAACCTCTGTGGAAACTACCTTTATCATTCTGTGATTTTGGAGGCATTATATACTATGGGATCCCTGTAAGTAAAATATGTCTTGCTATAGATTCATTCTATAAGGAAATGTATTTAGGTCTTAAGGAATACGTTTAGGAAATGTATTTAGGAAATATATTTAGGAATAGAAATCAGAGAACTAGAATGATTCAAAAAATTGTTTTAAATTAAATGTAGAATATTTGACTTAAAAACATCAAACATTTTTTTGCTTTAATAGATCCTAGATATGTGTGCAGCACCTGGCTCAAAGACCACACAATTAATTGAAATGCTACATGCCGACATGAATGTCCCTTTTCCAGGTATGCATTGGACTTGTTTTTGGAAAGGTAGGAATGCTGCTTTGGTGGGTTGTAGATGAGGATAAGATCCTAACATTTCCTGCTAATTGGGGTGTGAAGTCTCCTGTGACAATCAGATGGATTTTCTATCTACTGAAAGTAGAACAGGATATGTTTGCACATTATAATCAATAGTTCTCAAGCCAATACACTTATATTTTGGGGTCCCTATATTTTAGCATTGTGTGTTTTCTGTAAAAGCAAATGGTGTTTCTTTATCAAGCCTACGTATAGTGGATAGATTTCACCGTTTGAATTTTCGGTAGTAACAGTTCTCCCCCTAGTCCTCCCTCCCCACTTTTTGATTACTTAAGTGCCTTATGTGAGAGGCTCTAGAATGTAGTTGTTAAAGCTGATGTTAGACCCCCTAAGTTCAAATTTCACCACCATTTAATAGGCAAGTAATGTGATGGTATTAAACATCACATATGAAACGGGGTATCAGTGCCTACCTTGCGGGGATATTACAAGATTTCACAATGCTCAGAAAATGACAGCTGATTATAATGTCACTCGTACCCCTTTGTAGGGATTCTTTTTAGTGAAAAGAAATGCTGTCCATAGTGTGTGTTAGAGTCAGCCTTCATCTCATTCTTCCTTTTTTTTTTTTTAAAGTCAACTACTCTAAAGTCCTATTTTCTTATATTACCCAATGGTAACATCTTTGTCAAAAAACCTTCTTTATTTTTTCCTGTTTTTAATTATTTCTCCAAATCAGTAGTAAAGAGCTTTGTTTTCCTAGCAGGAGAAATTTCTCCTCTTTGTATAATTGATGTTTTGCATTTCATATTGTTTCAAGGAGTGATCTTGATCAAAAATGTTATAAACATATTTGCCCTTTTTGCTGGGTTGTGAGAGGAACCAGAAATGAGCAGAGGCATCACACACTTCCCTTGCTAGCAGTAGTTCTTAGCCCAAGGGACCAGTCAGAGTCTCCCAGGAATAGCTGACATATTCAGGTGTTTACACCCTACCCCAGGTGTCTGCACAGTCTAGAACAGAGCCCTGGCACATATGCAGTATTTTAAAACACTTCTCAGGCAATTCTGTTGTTTCTACACCTTTCTCTTTTCACTCTCTTTTGTAATTGATAGTTACTAATGAAGCACATTTTTGGCACAGAAATTGGTACAAAGTGAATAATTATTGAACACATGAATCTTGAGGTCTTGAAATTTTATGTGTCCATAAAGTCCGTACAGAGCCAACTGGTTCCTTTTTTTGGATCACTTACGGATTTCTACACAATCTTGATGTTGGGTCTTAAGCTTGGTGGATTGCTGCTTCTTACTTGTTGACCTAGAGGTTATGTGTTTCAGAAAATTATTCCACTTATGCTGTTTCACCTCACACTGCAATTTTATGTTCTTAGAGGGATTTGTTATTGCTAATGATGTGGACAACAAGCGCTGCTATCTGCTCGTTCATCAGGCCAAGAGGTTAAGTAGTCCCTGCATCATGGTAGTAAACCACGATGCTTCCAGCATACCGAGACTCCAAATAGATGTGGACGGAAGGAAAGAGATTCTTTTCTATGATCGAATTTTATGCGACGTTCCTTGCAGGTATTTATATTATTAAGAGGACAAAAAGCCCAAAAGCCACTAAGGCAAGCAATTCAGATATAGACTAAAGTAAAGCTGTGCACAAATACACGCATAATTGTACAGGTGATTCCTGTGGCCACAGGTAAGTCCAAAGAGGGAGAAGTGGTGAGCCTGGCCAGCGGGTGGATGCCCAGAGTTTTAGTGATAAATGGCCCAGCAGATGTGGGATACGGAACAGAGATACAGAAAGGAATGATTGGATAGATAGTCTTTAAAAAGATATAAAGAAAATACCTGAGAGGAAAACAGAATTGTAAACTCTCATTGTGGTGGATTTCAGGATATTATTGCTTGGAATGGTTTGTGTATCTCAGGTATTTCTATTTGTTCTTTCAATGAGTATGTAAAAAAACTTTGTCATAAAATAATACGTAATCACATTGGGTTTTTGTGATAAGTTTTATGTTATTTAGTATAATAAAAGAAACTTTGTAGTTTAAATGTTTTAAAAGTTTTGAGAAACTCATTTTATCTGTGTGTTTATACCTTCAAGTTATAATTAACAAATTTTAAATATTTAGAGTGTATGTATAAAAGAATTTCGTGGCATAACTAAATAACAGTTTTTCCAAAAGGAAAAGAAAAACACAGCTAAAGACGTCTGTTTAGTTCCCAGAGGCAGTGTATGAATGGTGATCCCAGGTGTTTAAATACTTTTTGAAAAATAGATTTGTTGAGACGAGTTCAAAAACTGCCACAAAACTTGTTAGGACTAAACATGGTGTTTAGATATGGTGCCTCATTACAGAAGAATTCCATTTTATTTAAACAAGTGGCAGATTTATTGTGTGTGGCAGAACTCTGAGAGTTGAAGCCAGTAGGGCTGGCTAGTTGGCTTAGTTGGTTAGAGCATGGTGTAGGTGACACCAAGGTCCAGGGTTTGGATCCCCATACCCACCAGCTGCCAAAAAAGAAAGAAAAATTGCAGCTGGTAGCACTGAATATGGCTGAGTGTTAAAATACCTGAAAAACTCCTTTTTAAAGTAAAATTTAAAATAGGTCATGAACTAAATTCCTTTTTGTCTAGGTTGCAGTTTTCTAGTTTTCCCTGGAGTTCTATGCTTTCCTATCCCTGTGTTCAAGT